CATATTATATTATAAGGAGCCTTAATAAAATTAGTAACATAAAATATTGTTTAAAACACTTAAAAAAATTGACCCTATCCTGTATCTAATTTTTATAAAGTGATTATTAAAACAAGGCTATATACCTAATACAAATATAAAAAGTGTATATAAAGCTATAATAAAATTGTGTAAAATAAATTTAGAATTTTCTTGAACTGAACCACTTCATTAGATGGTAAATAATTACTAAAAAAACTGGTTACATGATGGTTAGTTCTTGGGAAGAGTAGATAATTAATGTCATTGTAAAAGTACTTAATTAGTTTAGTAGTACTCCTCAAGGCACTAAATGAAAATCACAATAATAGATAATTTATTTGAAATGCATTTAAAAGATTCTTTTTAAAAGCCGATAGTGAAATATAACTTTATAAAACTTGTCCATATCAGCATCATGCTCAGAATAGAACTGAAAGAAAGACATAGAATGCGGCATCTGCTAGCTATCTTGTGCATATAGTAAAAGTGTATCAAGGGCATAGCATAAATAAATAAAATAAATATTTCCAACACTCACACCAATTAGCCTAGCCCCAAAGTAAGCACTATAAGGCTTGTGTTATGGGATACTAGGTTAAAGGATAGAATACATATACTGTGCATATATAAGTATATTTATATAGAAAATACATATTAAACATCCATGACTGGAGTACAAATGCTCGTATTCATCACACAAACATCTGCCCCCACCGGGATTTGAACCCAGGACCTCTCGAGTTGGCGACACTATGAAACCCGGCGTACAAACCACTCGGCCACGGAGGTCGTCAAATAATCAGTTTATATGCGATGGAAAAATAAAGTATAAGGACACCCGGGGCAGTTGTAGCCATGGGGCAAATGTAACTCTAGATCAGAAGATACAGAGTCAGAGAAGTTTGTTATTTTAAAAAGGCAACAGTAACGAGTTATTTGACACAACTACATTTGCCCCATGGCTACATTTACCCCGAGTGACCTTAACATATTTCATTTCAGATTTTCGGATCGAATTAAAACGCACGTCTGCGGAAGTAACCTGGTGATTATTTTACCACCACAGAAAAAAACTCTATTATTGGAAACTAATGTTGTATTTCTGTTGGTGAGTAATGATCCAGGGTACTTTGGGCGCGAGCGATGATTGGTTTACGACATGGTAAGGATGTATGAAACGGCATTTTTGTCTGTCATATCCAGATGTGAAATAAAATTGAGTTCAAAACTTTTTAAGTTAATAGGGTGGCAAACAGAGGTATGGCCCGCCTAATGGTAAGCGGTGCGGAGCGGAGGAGCTCGATGGAGCAGATGGTTAGCGCGTTCGGCTGCAATCGTTGATGTCAAGCAACTTTCGCAGTGGTCGGTCATTGGATGGGTGACCAAAAATCTTCTATCTCGAGTTCCTCCGTGCTTCGGAAGGCACGTTAAGCCGTTAGTCCCGGCTGCATCTGCAATCGTTAGCATCCGCCAATCCACACTGGGCCCGCGTGGTGGGTCATGGCCCAATCTCCCTATTCCATCCATAGGGAAGGCCTGTGCCCCAGCAGTGGGGACATTAATAGGCTGATGATGATGATGATGATGATGAATGGTAAGCGGCCACCAAAGCCTATAGATAGATGCTTGCGATATCAAAAATATCAGTCGCAACGTTGCCTACTTTGACCCAATCCCCTACCCCGCGGAGCCCTGGAGCCTTACAAACCGACAGAAACACAACACCACCAAAAGGTAGTGCTTATTTTACTGTGGTCGTCTGTAAGGTAAAGGTTACTTCTCCACTACAATTCGAGCGAGAAATCGGCTAATACCCTACATTTCTTAATAACCTCTCATTTGTGTTGGTGAGTAAAGTTCCAAGGCTCTATCTAGGCTTGATCTAGGATTGGAATTCGACAAGATGAGGATTTCTGGAACGGCGTTTTTGTCTAACACATCGGATAATGTGCCATAGATCATTGAGTTCAAACCGGCAAGTTGGGGATAGCTGAAGCTACACTTTTATCTTATCATTCTACGCAATTTTGGCGCTTGTTAACGAGACGGTTTTCCGCCGGGTCTAGGTACGGTTTTAAACCGTGTCTACGTCCGGTTGTCGGTTAGGTATGAGCCACTATGGGACTTGTTAATGTGCTCGTGAAAAAACTTAGCCGGCACCCGGCTCGGGTAAAAACAGCCTCGCTAACAAGCGCCCTTATACTCCACTTACAATTTACATTAGTTTAAGTAGAATAATGTAGGGCGCCTTATATGAAAAAAAACACTCGGCTCGCAATTTGAATAAAAGTTAATTTTCATTAAATTTAGGATTAGAGAGAATGCAGGTTATGCTTCTACTCCCCAACACTGAAGGACGATTCAAGAGCTTAAGAGCTTTTCGTAAGTCAATTTGAATAAAGTATATTTTCATTTTATGTTTTGATTAGAGGGAAAGCTATGTTTCAACGCACCATCTAGGCTGTCTAGCCTAAATTTCAACATAATCATGAGATTTGACTGTGATTTTCTGCAGTGCTATTCTGTAAGATCAAACTCACTTCTCACTGCAGCAGAATCCGCGGTGTGATTTCAAATTATAACACGGAATATCAAATAAATTTTAAATCACACCGCGGATTTCGCGGTGAAAATTAAATGTAAGCTAAAGGACCTTGAGTCGTAATCCGCTTTTATGTATTTCATAAAATAAGTAGAGTGGCTTATTCATTTCATTTTAAATTTTACACAAGTTTCAACGTATAGGTACGTCACGTATCACACTTCTATACGAGGCGTCACTACGTTGAATTTATAAGCGTTTCGTCCCCAAATCATACGTGCTTATCCAATTAAAATACCTTTTGGTACGAATGAAAGCCAGCTTTTAAGTCTTCATCACTGAAGTGGAACCGCATGTAGGTTCTAGATTATTTAAGTAATCGCTGTCATCGTGAGGAGTACGTAAGCTTATTTTTATATTTATTTATACTTTTATATGAAGAAATGATTTCGCAGCTTCATATCACATTTAGCCGAATAATTGAGTTCTCGTATAGAAAATATTTTATTACAAACACGGCATTATCAAAAACTTGCGGATCCGTCCGTTTGATTTTGATATGTAACTTTTGTTTAAATAAGATCAAAAAAATAAACAGAGGACAGCCTTGTTCCGTAAGAACTACCACAAAGTATAACTTCCTTGGTAAGAAACAACTCAATTTTCATCGCGGAATTAGCCGGTGTGATTTAAAATTTATGTTCTCATTTTAATCACACCGCAGGTTCCGCGGTGAAAAGTGAGTTTATTTTCACGGAATATTCCCTGGGTAGGCAATGAATGGATCAGGGTAGGCAATATGCGCGGGTGTAGCTGTTTATAGCTCTTTTAAAAAGTATAAATCATAGATAGAGACAATATATAAAATGAATGCCATTCTATTATAAAATACTAGTTTTCTACATTGACAGCCAAAGATGGTGTGATTCAATTAAACTGCGACTTGGACATTTAAACGAAGGATACGATTATACGAAATAGTTATAACTATAAGGTCGCTAAAAAAAAAAAATTTGACCTCTGTTAATTAAAAAACAAAACTGAAAACTTACATTGGTAAATATTCGTTCGATAATTATTATAAATAGCTATTTATTTAAGAAGGTATTAAAGTAATTTTGTTGTTTAATTTTTTGGCATTAAACGTTTTAAGCTATTGTTATGTAAATGTTTCAATGTAAATTTTTTTGATCATTTAATAGCCGAATAACTAATGGGTGTTACGCACTTTTGATGTGTTCAGTCCAATAAACAAACGATGTGCACTGAATCTCACTGTTAGTTTTGATTAAAAGCAAACTAATTACTACATCCCACCTGATGTAATTATGAGTTGGTTTTAGTTGCAAAAGCGTTGGCTGTTGCGATTGGGACACACGACGATTGTAAATGTAAAAGTTTATATGTAATATTCAGTAAACATCCATTTAAGCTTTTACTAATTGTAAAATTACTGGTTTTCTAAGTAACAATTCATAAAAAAATTGGGAATATTTTCATTAAATTCACAACATTCTCGAGAACTTGTTACATTGCTATCAGTTGTATCCGCTATCAAGATTTGTATTTTATACACTAAAAATGTTTCAACAAAAAATACTTCGACTTCATGATGTAGAAGTCGGGCGGATCAAAATTGAAAGACGTATTATTACTGATCAGAAACGAAAATCTATTTAATGTTTCAATCTCGACCCCGCCCGACTTCCAAATCTTAAACCTGTTATTATTTCTGATTACATTTCATCCTAATACCTGAGACAAGCTGTTTTTTTTTCTAGAAAGCTTTTCATAAGAGGGATGAAATTCATCGTGATAGGTAGAGTATCATATTACAGAATAAAAGGTTCGTATTTGCTTTGTTGATGGCACGCATTGCGCGTACCCTGCGTGAGCTCCATCTGCCTTCTGTTCTGTAATCTGAGGGTACAGTATACTCTTTTATCCCAGTAACATTATTACTGTTAAATGTTACACAGGGGCGTTTTTACTCTAGGGCAAAAAGAGCCGCGGCTTCAGGCTGCGAGGGCCAACTGTAGGCCGAGTGAGGAGCGGCAGAAATCTTAAGAAGGCTTTTGTTTGCTACTGCGACTAATTCTATAGTGGGTGCAAATTTAAATTTATTCTTTCTCTTATTAAAAATGTTGGGTATTTGGGTTATTGGTATGATTATACCTAAATAGATTATTGTTTTTGTTTAATACGGTCGAGTATACCTCATTCAAATTTTATAGATATATTCAGGTGATTTTATTTTCAATAAAATTTAAAGAGTGAGCCAGCCTTTAGTGCGATATAGCCAAAACTTGTTTTTTATTGGTATCCATAATCAATTTAATTATTAATTAGTGCAACTCAATGACCTTTTCGAATAATGGTTGCGATGAGGGTTACAATGCTTATCACATTTTTTTATAATTATTAAAAATTCACTTACCATTTTCGATTTTTTTATCCGAGCACAACGAGTTTTGTTTGCCAATCACACAGCTGCACAACACTGCACCACTCAATTTAATATTAAACACAGCACTACGTTGGACAGCTCCGGCCGCTCTGTGAAAAAAAAACACAAGCGTTAGTGAAAGTATAAAAGTCGCTATCGCGGCGCTAAGATGGTTTTAGTTGGCGACGTTATACAATCCCCCAAAAAGTGATTGATGTTGCCCTCCAATGGACCACGATCAGCTGAGACGAATCTGTCGAGGTCAATGAACCTAAACGGTTAACAAATTGATCTTGCATACATAGTTCCATTTGTCCACTGTACCAAAGTTCTTAATTCAAATAAAAGTTTACTCGTGTTAAGTACATCATTCCATGTTTGTCAATTGTTTTAAGTCAAATCGAGCTGGCGTGAGGCTAAACACATCTTTGACTTTTTGGCGGGAGCGGGGAGCGTCACTTTAGCAGTTTTGTTTTTCTTGTTAAAAATTGTGTTGTGGCGGATGTTAGTGTTTAATAATTGTGGATTATTAACCACTAAGTTTTCGGGAACATGCACAAGTTTTGGCAAGTGAAACAAAATAGCGGAAAGTGTCCTTCGACGTTCCCTCAAGAAGTCCACGGGGAGGTTCCAGTAAATCCCCACACTTTTACTGAAACATAGGGAAAGGGGGATTGACTTGACTGCCACTTACTTTGACTTGATTTATTACTTTGACCACGAGTGCTATAGTATTTGTAAACATTTTTTACACTTGACATTGGCTAAATGGACAAGGAAAGAAAAAACACATCTTTAGGTTTTAGAATTGAACAAAGTTCTTTTGTTCCAAGTGAGCCTTAATTTATTTCGAACTAACAACACACGCCTGTTGCAGTAGCGCAGATGCAATTTGGTAATTATAAAAATTGCATATACTACATCTATATTCTGACCTTGTAATAGATAAATCATAAATAAGAAATCTAGAATCTGGGTGATTGTAATTCAGTTGGTTTTTACACTATATTTTAAGGGTTTATGTATTTATGTGCGTTTCATTAAATCTTTGTTCTGCAAATGCAGATTTCTTGTTGTTCCGCAGAACGGTCCCCGACTGCAATTGGTTTTTTTATTAAATTGAATTGTTTGGTTAGGTATGTATTTATTTTTTAAGCATTTAACTGCGAGATTTTTAAATGTAAAGAAAATTTTATTAGAAAATAAACTAGACAGCAGACGAGACTCGAACGCGCACCCTGCGCTATCCGGGCGGATGCACTTAACAATGTGCTACCGCAGCCCTAATGGCCGTGCCGAATCTCTTCTAGTAGTTCTTAGGCTGCAAGGCAGCGCCATCTATTGATTGATTTATTTATTTAACATTTGTTTTTAGTTTCTTTTATGGTCGTGTTTTCTAATTTCCATATAGCATAAGTTGGGAGACGAAAGGAAAATGTGTGGTATTTTCCTATGCGTATTTTTTAAGCTATTGCATAGATTTCATCGCGGGGTTTGAGCGCGGCGACCGAATCAAGAAATTCCGTAACGACAATAACCTGAGAACAGTGCATATGAATACAATTTTCCCCTATCCAGTAATGATCGAAACGGCGCAGTGTGTTAAATTTTTGCCACGGGACCAACGTTCGACGCATCACCGCGGACGTCGGTTCAAATCCCGCACTCGTATTTTTTATTATATTTTTTTCCTTTTTTCATTTTTGTTTGACAAAGTTGCGCGACATAGGATGCGCACCAAAAACGTAACGAGGTCATTCATCGATAGATTTTACTCCTCACATTTTTCTCATACCGGGCCCCTTATATGTGCAATTCGATTCTTAAGGAGTAAACTCCAAAAAAGTCCTCACAGAGATAAATGTTGTGTAATCGTACTTTTACTCAACCGAAAGAAGATTCGTATGAGATTAGATGAGATTTAAATTCATCAAGTGAATATAAAAGGATAAGGTTTACGTGGTAAGCCTTAATTTGTTATTTAAGTACCTATTTGTTACACTAAAAATTTCAAACGTACAATAAACAAAAATAGTAGCATAATTGGTCAGTGCATTCGCGCGGATAGCGAAGGGTGCGGGTTCGAGTCCCGTCTGCTGCCTGGTACGCGTGAATTTTTTTCTAGTAATATTTAATTAGATTTAAACATCGAGCAGTTACATGCTTAAAAAATAAAAATTATAAACAAAAATATTAACTCGAAATAAAGAAAGAAAATATTAATGAGGTGCCAGCAATTTGATTTTTCACTTGTTATCGTCCTTTGATTATAATGTAACCAGCGGGTGAAAAGGAAAAGACTGCAAATGAAATTTTAATTGAATTTATAATTTGAGGTGATGATGTATTTTTATTTACATTAAGTCTTAAAATTTTTTCATGACCGAGACCGAAGAGCTGGCAGCTACCTCGGACAAAGAATTAATATAGCTATTCAAAGGGGGAACGCTGCCAGTATCTTCGGAACCTTGCCTAATTAAAAGGAGTCCCCCTTTTAATGATATATTTTAGTTATTTTATTATATTTTTTAAGGTTTTTAGTTTTAGGTTCATTGTTCTAATATATAATATTTTTTATTTTATTTTATTAAGACAGATATTGTAAATATATTTCTGTAATATAGAAACAAAAGATAACATTGTTAGACTTTTTTGAAACATGAAATATCCATGAAATAAAATGTCTAGCTGTTTAGTCAGCGTCTGTCCACACTGCACTGACATAATGCTGTGGATATGGAGATTGGTGTCGATTCTGATTGAAGAGTTCCGTTATTTATCTGCGAAAGTATTTATTAGATCTTCAACAAAATAAAAAGTGACCACTTCTCAAAAAAAAATTGATACGATTTTTTTTTAAATCAGTCAACTCATCTCGGAGATGACGAATTGATCACCTTTTCCTTTTTGAAGTCGATTAAAAAGGTCATTCATGCCAAAATTACAAATTAAAAAATGAAGCATATTTTAGGTGTTTCTCACAGATATAATATTGCTTTCGCTATTCGCTTTCTAAGAGGAGCCTAATTGTAGTTTTGATTAGATTTTATTTAGCATTCAGATTAACTTTTAAAGGAGAAGGAAAAAAATAAAGTTCCTAGAGCGACGTCAAAAATATTTTCGTTGATTCTTTGGAATCGGTTTAATTATTCATTTAGGGTTCCGTACCTAAAAAGGAAAAACAGGAACCCTTATAGGATTACTTTATTGACCATATCTCTGTCAATACCCTTTATCTCTAAAACTCATACAGGTATCGAATTGACATTTAAACCATAATCTCAAGTATACGGTCTCTTTAAGCTGTGAAAAATTCAAACTTCTAAGTTAATGCTTTAAAAATATATGGCTGTTTATGTCGCATAAAACGTAGACATCGACAATCCAAAAAAAACAAAATTCATAGGGTACTTTCCGTTAACATAGAACTTTTAAATTTGACAAGTAATATCGTCTTAAACTGTAAAAACAAGAAAAATCTGAAAACCATACATTCGTTACAATCATCGAGGTTAAGCAACGGTATGCTCGGTCATAATTATTTGAGTTACCAAATGTTTTTATGTTTTTTTTTATATTCGCGTTGTACAGAAGACAAAAAAAAACTCAGTCACAATTTTTTTTATACCTACGGTTTAATTATTTGCTTACTTTGCTGTAAAAACTTTCACATTTACCTGTATCAGATTAACTACATTTCCTTTTTTATGCTTTAAGATGATATTATAAATAATTTACAAAATAATTAATCCTATTAATATTAAAAATCTGAAAGATTGTATGTCACACACGGTCACGTAAAAACTAATAAACAGATTTGTATAGAATTTAGCACACTTACGCCCTTATTCCAAATCATGGACTAAAGTTAGTCTTGGTTTAAATTTCATGACTACTCTCTCTTCTTTTTAGCAAACAAAAGAAACAGCATCAGTTTTAGTCCAAGTTTAACTTTAGTCTACGTTTTGTAATAAGGTGGTAGTTTATTACCTGGATGACGACTGAGGATACTTTTTAACCTGCAAAAATGTTAGGTTGCTGTAGGGTTTCCAAAAAACAAAACTCGGACGAAGTCGCGAGCTCTAATTCTGGAGCTTCATCAAATCCCGGCAGCATACTCTTGAAATTCATCCGTTATGTCTTATCAATTTACATACACGCAATCGCAATCAAGCAAGCTTAACAAGCTCGTCACACAGAGCGCAAGTATTTAAGCTTCGGATTTCTTTTTAATGCGTGTGATAAAATTGAAATACGGTCAAGGAGCATTGATGGAATTATCCTTAACAGTCGAGATGACCTCACTCACGATCGGCGACTTTCATCGGAGACTCGTTGCACGGTCGCTTAATTGCACCACTATTTGTTTCAGTACGAAACCATCGGTGCGCGCCGTTCGGTTGTTTTATTGCCGATCCATTTTTATAGTAAGTAGATCCGGTTAGCCGGTTTTCTGTTGACTTTATTTTAATTACATACATTGGAAAATAGGGATGATGACAGGTGAAGGAAATGAAATTCAATTTAGCACGTCAGTTCGATTACTAAAAAAATATGGACACTTATATTTTTTCTTTTGTCAATCAACCAAAAAATTACAAAGATAAAGCATGTCAAAGTTTGGAAGTGGGGACGTTACTTCTAAATTAAAGTTGTACCGTGTTGTACGTTATGCGACATTTCAAATCAATTTAACTATCTCCGTAGTTTTTTGATTGTGTGCATAAAGAAAAAATACAAGTCCAATACTGGTTAATCTGGTTGGTTGGTAATCTTCCTGATACGAAGGAAAAAAAGTTAGGCATCATCCTTATTGTAAACTTTCTTTCTTTACTTAGATATGGCTACGAATCCTATAACAAAATTATATATCGTACCTAAAGGATTCATCAATTTAGTTATGTGTCTAACTAAGCCTCCGTTATCTGGAACCCTTCCAGTGCAGGACAGACTTAATACACAAATAAATTTTAATCCTACCCAATGACCAGCGTGAGTGAAGTTCCAAGACGCTTTAATATTTGAAGCATTATTTCCTCTATTCTGCTATCTATCTGCGTAGTTTAAATATCCATACAAAATACCAACCCCTTTTCTTCCCCTTAAAGGT